AGCCCCGGCTGCCCTCAGGGCTGCTGCTGCCGGCCGCTGGCAGCCGTGCCCTCGGGCTGAGTCAGGATGCGGCAAGGGCCGGGGATGAGCCCTGCCGGGCCAGGAGGGCGTGTGGCCACAGGGCTGCTGGCAGGGAGCTGTGCCGCCGGGGCCCTGACAGCCTTTGTGTTCCCAGGGATGACCGGGCGCTACCTGAGGGGACAGGAGGAAGAGCTCCAGCTGATGTGCAAAGGTGAGTGAAAAACGAGGCTCACTTTTTCTTTACAATAAATTAAAAAAGTTTAAAAGACAATTAGGAGACAAGCAAAGCAAAATGAACAAATACGGCTGAGTGCCTCAGCATTTAACTAGGAGCACACATTTAAAGTATTGTCTTTTAAAAAGAGAAATTTCTTGCGTATTCATAAATACTTATGCATGATTTAAACATTCTTCTTAAGTTTTAGATATTATTTTCTTTAGCTTCAACTAAGCTAACAGCCCTCTCCCCAAGAGATCAATATTTTTGGCTTCATTGAGTCTCACTCTCCTCGACAATAGAGATTCAGTAAATTCTTCTCATGGAGCTCTGGTCACTGCTGTCTTCATCTGGATAAGATAATCTAAGAATTCAGGGGGTGTTTTGACTATCTTTTTAGACTCCAGGTTATATGAACAAAAGCAGTCTTTATTTTAAGACCATCCTACAGCTTAAAAAATATATATGTATATATACACCACTATTTCTAAGTTTTATCAATAACAGAAATAAAATAAACTGTATTAATCCAGCCAAGTTTTCTAACATTATACATATAACATTAATTTTAATATTTTCAAAAAGCCAAAAATATAATATGTATCTATAAGAGTGAGTAAGGGCAGTGGGCTGTCAGTGGGGCTGGCAGGGGGAGCTGCAAGCCCTGGCCTGGCTGCAGAGGGCTCTGCTCCCTGTGCGGATTAGGGGCAGTGTGGGCAGAGCACACCGAGATTTCAGGGGCACCTGGGCCGTTTGTGGCCAGAGGCTTCAGGCTGATCCCCTCGGTCCCTGCTCCCTCCTGGCCATGGCAAGAGCCGGCTGGGATAGCCCTGGCAGGGGGCTCAACTGGAGTCCCCGCAGATCTGGGATCTCACCACAGCTCTGTTCCTCTCTCTTCCAGCCCTTGAATACATGACAGAAGACATAAGCAGTGCCATATCAGACCTGGCACTGCAAACATTATATTTCCTCCGGGCAATACAGAGTAGGAGATACTCCATCTTCCAGCGGTTACATGATCAGCTCCTCAGAATCTGGAAGGCACGGCCTCGTCTGTCGGGCCTTACCTGGCTGCACTGCTGGAGCTCTGCAGAGCCCTGATCTGGAAGGCTGTCTGCTGGGCCCACCTGATGCAGCAGGCATTTTCCAGTTTTTCAAGACTATTCCTCTTTTCTTTTTCCTATATAAATATAGGATGTGTTATAACACACAGAGTCCCAAGACCTTTCTTCTGCTGCCCAGAGTTTGCTGGGCATAAGGGAAGAGAGGGAAAAGGGTGCTTGTGCTCAGCAAGCTGCCCAGGTGTGCAGTGGTGCAGGGAAAATGGCCAGAAGCCTCTTGGCCTTTGGTGGCTCTGCTGAAGCCACAAGCCCTGTCCCATCCAGAAACCACCATCTGTGTCCTCCTGCCTGTATGTTGCTGCCTGGATTGATGAGGGCTCTGAGGTGCCTCTTGTTTGGGCTCCTCTGGAGCTTTGTGGGGCTGCACCACTGCTGCAGGGTTGGGCTGGGGGAGACCCTGCAGCCAGCTTGGCCCCATCCCATCCCCATGGGACATGCCCACAGAAAGGATGGAAGAGAGGCCAGCCAGCCAGCCTGCAGCAGCTGAGCTGCATCCCTGGAGCATCCTGCAGCTGTCCCCGCCTATGGAGTGCAGGGCTGGGCTGTGTTCAGCAAAGCTTGTGTTGCCTAGCAGTGAGAAAATGGTTTTTATTATTTTAGTGTTTAATATTATTTTTTTGGTAATGGAAATTAAGTAATAAATAATGAGATTAGACATGTGGAAGAAGTCTCAACTCCAGATTGCACTTCAAAAAGAGAGAAGTACTGGATTAGAAGTGAATGAAAAAAAAAAGTCTTGTTTAAAGTCCAGCAACAGCCCATTTCAAAATTAATCAATCCAGAGAAGACTGTGCCAAACATGGAATACTCTGTACACTGTCATACTGAAATTCATTACACGATAAAAGTTGTGTGTCACTGGTCCCATCAAGACTGCTCCAGTGGGAAAGACCTTTCCCACTCATTAGGCAAGAGCCACCTTAGATGACCGATATCCATCAAATTAGTCAGTGGTAAAATCATTTGCTCCTTTCTTCAGAAGCAAAATTACTGCAGGGAAGATGCTGGATTCAAAACATCTCCGCTGTGCAACTGTTTCATGGCAAACACAGAAAACAACAACAACCAAAACAGATTCTTGGCAAGATCGCCCCTCCCAGGAGACAGAAAATGGTACATAATGCCTTCCATAAGAGTTTTGCATTTTGGCTTGGTCATTTCCAAATGAAGAGTAAACATCTGGAATGCTGACCAGCCAAAGTGTCTCAAGTGTGTATCTAACTCCAAACATGGAAGTGGTAACTCTGGAATAAAGCAGTGCTTTTAAAAGAAGAACAGAGCAGGTTGCTGCAGAGAAATTTCCTGATGCTGAATTCTTGTCTCATGCAGCAAGTTCTGACATGTTGGTCTGCTCAGTAACTGGACTAACGAAGCAATTTAAACAGTATCCACAGCAATTCTCTAACATAAATGAGTTAATGATGGCTCATGTGCAAGATTTATTCAGAGTGCTACCAGAAGACTCTGTGGAGGACTGAGAACAATGCAATGATGCTGCTTTGCTCATTGGAAAGAAATCCAGTATTTAAAGGTGTTTCCTGGGTGCTAAGTGACTCCTTAGTAAAGCAGAGTTTAACAGGACTGTTCAGAATACTTAAAAAAGCTGTATTTACAACATATGGAAAACGGTGTGGCTCTTGTGGGAAAATCCAACCAATTATAGTAAAATCCTAGTTTGCTGAGTGGCAATTTTTTAACTGGCAAGAATCTCTCACTGCAATATTTTCATCACCTTCCCTGAATTAGCCTATTTTAATAAGAAAACAGGCAGTGAAGAAGGATTTTCATAAAGCTTGTGTGCTGTTGGTAAAAGAAGATTAAGAATCAGTATATTTTTCTTTGATCCTCTGCAATTTATTCCTAGCACTATAGAAACCTTCACTAGATTCTGGCAGAAGCCTGTCAGTTCATTTGATTTCTTTCCAGCCTGGGAGATAGCTGGGATGATTTTTTTTTGCTTACTAACACCAGAGGGTAACAAAATTTACCCAGACCTAAGACACTGTAATACACGCACTCTGCTCTAATGCACGGATAACTCTCCTAATAGACAGATACAAAGTTTCTTTGACAGAATAAGCCTCACAAAAACAAGTCACAATTGCTGCTACTTATGTTTCAGAGAAGCCTTTAATACAGGCTACTTGCAGTAAATCAAAGAAACAGTTTCTTCTGAATAGTTAAATAGTAGCTGAACACATTTTTTTTTCCCCCTGATCAGCGTGCTGTGTTGGACCACATTCAATTAAACACATTTAAATAATCCCCACAACAGATTGCATTCTTCCAATTCTATTTCAAAAATTTGTTGCTTGTTGGAGAAATAGCTGCTATATAGAGACAAGATACTGGTTCATGGGGGCTTTGCATGCTATCAAGGTATTCACATTTCATTTCATTTGACCAAATTAATTTTTCCTTTAAATACTTTGTAATAATAACAACAACAACACAACAAAAATAATAAATAAAGGAAGCACCTTACTTTGTCACTAGATGCAAAAGGAAGTATGTAACTAATAGATTGATTTAAATATTTCCAATCTTATATATTTTGAGGGACAGCTCCTGTAGGTAAAGTCCATGTTTCCCCTCCCACCCCGCAGTTTCGGAATACACTGGCATAGATTCCAGCCAGGAATGAAAACTAAGAGAAGAGCTATATATGCAAAAAGACAGATTGTGATTACCAGCTTCCTTCAAGAAGGCTCTGTTTGTTCAGTTGTTCCAATTTTATTTTACAATGAGCTGTAAGAGCATGCTGAGTATTTCCTACTTGGTCAGGACAGTGAATGCCAAGTTTTGAGAGTAAATCATTTCAGAAGTGTGACAAATGGCAAACTTCTCTTACTTTTGTTTCCCTACTACTGAACTGACAGAAATAGAAGCATGGAAGCTTTGTAAGCAAGAGAGGCTTGAACAGATTATGGACTCAGATCTGGGTTGGAATTGCTCATACACTGAAATGCAAGAAGAAATGAAGTTTTTCAGGACTTGTTCCACAGAATATGAAGTGATTTGTATACAGGCAAAAGGTTTTTTTTTAAATTTCAGGGTGTTTCTTCATTTCTATTAGTGTAGTGCTGGGAACAGAAGATGGGGTCAAGCATAACAAGAAAGCAAAGCTGAGTGTTTTTCAGAGTTATCAGTTGCTTGTGAGAAAAAAAAAAAATTAAAATTATTCATGAGAACATATACTACTACAAGTAACAATTTTCAACATTGGCACTTAGACTTTACTATGCCACTTTCTTTGTTACATAATCACCATTGGCTAAATTAGTGCTATTGATCAGGATACAAAATTGGATTTTTTTTTGGTTAAGTTTGTATGGTTTGGTTTGCTCATTTTCATATTATGTCAATATTTTAGAAATTAATGAAGAATACAGACATTATCTCTGTTTGTTCCACTCACAACTGGAAGATCTGATGTGTTTCTGAACTTTGTTTTTTGGATAAAAACTGTAAACAGGTGGACAGACCAGCTGGAAAGCAGAAGAGAATAACAGAAACAAGTTTTAATTGCTCAAAACAAGAGAAATTTATTTAAAGATGAATCCCTGTGGAGGTTTTGTAAGTATTTCTGGGGGAAAAAAATCATGCTAACATTGGTCTTTGCTCAGTAGAGTATTTTTGCTGCAATTAAAGTGCTTTTTTCTAAACATAGATGACTCATATAATTGAAAGAAGGAACTTTGATTTTTAAAGAGAATACTCATTTTTCTGACCAAAATATCGTTCACAACTATCAATGCTTTTCTCATAAGAGATAGCAGAAAATTTTTAACCCAAATATCTGTGTGAATAATGAACTACCAGTTCTTTCTGCTTGTGAAACTAAGGGGTGTTAATTAATCAATTAAGTGATCTATTGTCAAGATCTGGCATGGCTTGAAGGCTTATCAAGTCTCAGGTGCTTAAAACACCAAACAAGAAGGAAAAAGTTTCTTGGTGATTTGTTACTGCTCTTTTGTGAAAAAGATTAAACTTGACAACATTCAATTTGATTACTTGCTACTGATTTTTCAGGATCATTTGTGACTTGGGTGCAATTTTTACTACTATTAAAGGGAGAAGATGGCATTTCCTTGTTGTTGCCAACCACTCCACCTGTGCAATCTGAGGAATAATCAATAACCAGCAGGGCTGTGCAGAGCACAGCGAGCCTGCAGCTCTTCCCAGATCACAGATGGACCTTTATGCTCTGTGCCAGTGCCCTCGATGTGTCTGCAGAGAGCCTGGCGGTGGCACGGCAGGAGCTGCCAACACCAGCGCCCTCCCGAGAGCCTTGACCCCACGAGAAGGGACAGCCCTGCTTTATCAGCCCCATTACAATCTACACCTCTGAGGTTAAACAGTACAGTTTGTTACTGGATGGAAATAGGATTTGTGATTTGCTTACCCACTGTATGATACGTAAAGATTTTTTTGTTTGCATGCTTGGGTTTTCTAAAACATGAGGATTCAAGCAAACAAACACACAAAACACCCCTCAGCAAATAAAACCCCAAAACACCAACTGCCAACTGTTTTCCCCATTTAAATGTGATACAGCAAATATTCTATCTGCTACCAAACAATGGCTGTGGGGAGAAAAGCCACTCATCCACTGAGTGTATTTCTGCATAGTAAAGAGCCACAGTAATTCTCTGGTGTTACACCGGCTACTTGTGAGAGCATCTCTTCTCCCCCGAAATAAGCAGACTTTAAATAAAGTGAAAAGCTTAATAATTACCATCTCACAGCTGGAGATACTCCAACATCCTCTGGCACATCTGCAAGTGTTTGACTCTGGCAGATTTTGGAAGTCCACTGCTCAGAAAAGCAGTTTAACCAGTAGAGAGGGAGGAAGCATTCCCAAGGGTTCAGCTGTGTGATTGCATGGCCATGATGTGATGCATTACTTCTGTAGCAGGTACTCATTAATTTCCATTTTTTCATTTGCATAATTTATACCTGTTTTGAATAACACATTAATTAAATTACAGAGGTGTTTTGGTAAGCTGGACCATACAGAAACCTGTGAGGCTCAACTTCTCTGTAGACAGGGGGTTCCTATTAATCTCAAAGCCTAAAGTATGCAGAA